TCGTAAATAAAAATGTATGGTATTCAATCGAATTCTGAAACCTTACTAAAAGTGATCATTCACGTATGCACACGCAAAACTATTATTGACAATGGTAATATTCGTCCGTAATCGATTTCTATATTTCCATACGAATATACCAAAAGTCTGTCGAGAATCATAGCTATATCGAGCACTCCATCACATGAAAAAGATCTTCAGAGATTCACAGAATCCGAGTTCTACAGAAGAGCTACGCCAACACTTTCAAAACTATCCTATCTTATTTCAAAAAAGGATGCAAGCTTCGCGTGGAAAATCATCCTTTCGAAAGGTACACAGACTGAAGATATAAAGTTTTGTGCTAAAAAAAGTCAATTAAATCGATATAAAGAACCAAATACAAAGCTTGATGAGTAGTACAAATCAATGTATAATCAGTCGCTCTTTCCACCGAGAAGAAAGAAAAATTATGGCACAGAGAAAAATTATTCATTTGGCGAAAGTTACAGTGCACACCGGCTGAAAAAACGAGAGAGAGAGAGAGAGAGAAGAGAGAGAGAGAGAGAGAGAGAGAGAGAGAGAGAGAGAGAAAGCCGTCAAGTAGTCCGAGTAACAACGTGGAATGAGCGCGCAAAAGCGTTCGAGCGCATATTTTTGGCCTCTGAAGTACACGGCCTCTACACTTACTCCTCTCACCGGCGGTCGGAATGTTTCCCTTTGTGCTGATCTGGCCTAGGGCTTTGCAACTGCAAGTCTCTATCTCTCGGAGCTTTTTTTCACCGCTGCAGTAGCGCGCTTCTCTTTTCAGCTTTAGCCTTATTTATATGTGATATACCGAGGGAGGCGGAGAGCTGCTGGCATTTTCAATGGAAATACCGTAGAATCTAGCATTTATCTGAAAATCACGATGTTTTTGAGAACCTCGTTAGCTCTTTTATATATACATATACATATGATCTCGGTATTTTCATACTACGTGTTGCTGACACGACAAAGCCGAACAGAGGCACAAAGAGAGAACAAAAAAATACATACGAGCGAAGGCTCTTTGATGTAAGCAGAGGAGGACACAACAAAAAAAGCCTCTTAATAAAGGTTGTAGCTGCGTAATACACGCGCACAGAAGCCAAGAGTGATTGCGTAATCCGGGCCACGCGAAGGACACGACAAAGGGCTGCTCGCTACCCTCTCGATACGGTCAATCAGCGACTTCATGATTGCACGCAATTCACTCGTTCACCCTAGAGTCCTACTCTTTTATTTTTCTTTCCTTCGTCGTGGTCGTCGGACGACGGAGGGTGCGTGTGAACAGAGTGCCGCGACATTTATCGGCATCGCTTTACCTCGTTCGTACAATCCGTTCCACGAGTGGAAGCTTGTTCAGTGCGGTTGTTTTTACTTACTATACCGCTTCCTCGATGTTTCTTCGCCTCTTCTCTACTGCATCGCGTGTTTGCTCGATTTGATTCGCCTGACGAATGGCAAAAATTTACACCGTTATGGATAACAACGTCTCGACAGGATTCTCTTTAATCTACTGGTACAGGTAGTAATCCGACATCTATCCCTACGAGTCAACGCCACTTGGTATATACACTTGGTATATTGATCTTTTGATACTTTTCGGTAGTATTGAGTTTGATCATAAAGTCATTGACCTATCACTCGGTACTTCTAATTTATTATATAATCCAGACCATAGGTCGTCTATCAATTTTTAATAGTCTACTTAGATCAGTCGGAAAAATGATCATAAAATATATATATTAAAAATTCCGAGCCCCGAATCCAGCATTGTGAAAATTTAAATCTTATTATGTTTGAAATATATTCATGCTATATATATAGAAGTAGGATTCCAGTAGTAAATATCTAGCTTATGAAAAATTGACAAGATAGACGGAACCAACGCGAGACTGTACCCAATAGGAGATTATGCTGGGATTTCAAATTTACGCATGTTACATGTTGTACGACGCTACTGCATCATGTTCGTGCTATCAATCAGTGTCAGCTCCATAGATTTAAATCATCTCCGAAGACGAAATCCATCTTGCAGGAGCCGTTTGTACTCGGACTATCGAATTTTTCAGCTCTTTGAATTTCCGTTTAACGCATACATGTTATTTAAGCTAGTCTATACCGCGATTCAATTTGTCTTCTATTACTCTTACGACAGTACTCATCGCAAATTTTCTAGCACTTAAGCCAAATGCCACTTCGATTACTTTCGTCGTTCGTGTGCTCCTATATGAGACCATATCGAGAATTAATAATGAATTATAATAAATATAAAACATTACATTATGTTTTATATGTTATAGTTTTGAATTTACGTGTATAATCAATAAGAAAACTTAATTAATAGTTAAAATAAATAGAGTTTTTCCAGTTACCAAAGTCCAAATGTCGATTGTTATTTTTCAAGATCAATGTTTCTACGTAACGACGGCACTGCTATTTGGTACAAATTTAGAAATGTACTAATATCGTAACTTTTTTTATGTGTCACGTATGATTCATAAACATAAAAACGCCCTTTTCTGCAGTCTCGCGTTGGGTCTACTGCTTTTGCATACTCCTCCTTTCTAAAAAGAAAAAAAGGAGGTCGATTTAAAGTACGATAGCTCGAGCCAGACATCATAAAAATATCGCGCGATGACGCGTCTTGAGGTTTTCAACTGTACTATCATATGTAAAAAAATCGATTGTTAATCAAAAGTTACAGTCATTGGCGCATATACCAGTCCAATATCGGTTCCACTCGAAATATAACAATTTCCATGACTGATCAAGAAAAGAACTGTGTAGTATGTCGGATTGAGGATACAAGAGGTTTTGGAATCATGCTGATAATTTAGCAAATCATAGTAATATTGAGAAAGAGTATTTTTCGCAATTTAACTTTCAAACTGTACCTTCGCCATTTGTTTCCGGCACTCATGCGGAAAAATGCCGTCCTTAACTGATGTAAAGAGGTTTTTTGACGAAACTCGTTACAGCATTTGCCTCCGGCTCGTGCCGTAATCCGTAAACCTCTCGTTTCATCAAAAAGCTTCTCCTCACCCGTTAAGAGATGTATTCATTTATTAACTGTAGATTCTACTGGAATTGTTGAATAATTTTTAATGCGTACCTGTGATATTTTCAAATGTATTTTTTTGGCACCAATTTTTGCACATCAATAGAACAGTGGTATCACTCTATTTTGACCTGCGCGCTTAATTTTTTGTCTTTTTCACGAATGTCATGTGTCAAAACTTTACTTCGTTTCAAAAGTGTCAGATATCGATCTCTGAACAGCCAATTGGTCCAATCTCTCGCGATTTCATAATACTAGACACGTCGCATTTTTTTGTGTTAACTTACGGGTTGTTCACAAATCAACAGTTTTGCAAACGAACTTAAATACTCTAATACACAATGAAATACATATATGATTATATGTAATACATATATTTACGCCATTAGTCAGTTACAGTTTGCAATCGGAAAGTTGTTTATTTACAAAACATTTATATTTCATATATTTGAACTTTTCAATTTATCACATTGAAAACTGCTATTTCAACGATCTTTCCAACTACAATTATCCAGGATAATTCTTTTGCATTATTGTTTATTACTATTACTGGACCGACAATGATTTTGAGATTTTGACAAATGACAAAATGAAATTATTGGTTAGTAATAATGAATAATTAACATAATCCTAAAACGTAATATCTTATTTTTTCAAAAAGACTTATTTCGCACACCTAATGAAATCAGCGACATTAGTCTCGTATGCCTGTATGTGATACATACCACGTGACCATCTCTCAGCCAGTTACATCACGAATAAAGTCCAGCTCCTTTTTTAGATAGGATTTTAGGTTTCTCTATAGAACTATAGCGCTGTACTCAACTCTGCGATCGCGGAGAGTGTTTCGGGCATGACTTTAAATATATCCGGTTGCGCAGAGGCTGTATACCGTAACTGCGCAATGTGCAGTTGCTACTGCGCGACCGGACTTATGCATCTCAATAAGACCCCTGGGTTATAAAATATGGTATGATTTTTCCTCTGTAAACTCAAGCGAGAGTAGGAGCGCGGAGCGATACGATTGGTTAGAAAGTGATAAACTTAAGTGAGCAGAACATGGGTAAAAGAGAGATACGAAACTATGTTTACCCAGTAAAATAAGTACCCGAAATTTAAAAATAATGTAATTTAATTCATCCCCATTAGGTAAATGTGCAAACAACAAGTAAATAATCAATTATAAAAGTGCTTTATTTTCAGTGCTATCTATTTATAAGTTGATTAAATAAAACTTATCTTCATTTTAGAAAATAAAAATTTTTTCGATACTCTGTGCGCAAGGTGCGTCTCTTTCCCGCACGCTCGGCAAAAAACGTGGGTTGAAAATCGCACTTTCCATACTCGTTTCGCTCAGGCGTAATCGCCACACGACACAAGAATCTACTTTCCCGCACTTGTATCGTAATGTACTAAAATCTAATTCGTATTTAAGTTATGCTTACCGACTTGTGTTATAGTTTGCTTATAGATTAAGTTAACTCGCCGGATACTTTTATAATTGATTATTTACTTGTTGTATGTATATTTATCTAATGGAGGTGAATTAAATTACATTTTTATTTCATTTTGAGTACTTATTTTGGTAAAGACTTTACTTTTTAGTTTCGCGTCTCTTTCTTGTCCATGCTCTGCATAAGTTTGTCTCTGTCTATCGATAGTCGCCACATTGAGCGCTGTAACCAGTATCGCGTACCGCTCCGCCTCCGGTGATGAGAATCCGATGAGGCTACAAAAAATTTCATTTTCGTGAAGTCGTATCGCATCTATATCGTTTATACAACAATGCCCAAGATTCATAGTCGGCAGTGCCGAGCATCTTGGACATAGTTGTATAAATGATGTAGATGCGATATGACTTCATGAAAATCGGTGGAAAATCATCCCAAGTTCTTAAATATATCACATTGGAGTTGGATCTCCTTATAATACTTCATGGTTTCAGGTAGAGAGTATTAGGGAACCCAAGGGGAATAGTGAAAGACGAGTGTCAGTAAAAGTGCGTCCAGTGTCAGTGATTTCCTTCATTCTTGGTACATTATTCGTTGTCTGTATCATAATGCATTGCGCGAAGGACTTTGAGCATTTCGATCCTATTTCGAAAAGCATTAAGGAGATCAATACTCTCTTGCAGCAGAGTGTGATTGATAATCAGTTGGAAGAATTGAAGAAACTGTTGAAACGAGGCATCGATCCGTTTTTCAAGAACAATTATGGAGATTCTGTTTTACACATAGCCGCCAAGAGTAAGAATCCTCAAACTGTCGAAGTCATTTTAAAGTTTTACGATAGCTCAAATCGAAAGATATTGATGGACACCCAAACAATCGATAAACAAGACACGGCATTACACATCGCTTCGCGTAATGGATGCTACGAGAGCGTCATTTGTTTACTGTCATACGGTGCGAATTTTGCTATTGAGAACGAGGATGGCAAGCGACCGATCCACCTTGCCACAAACGACAAAATCATAAAAATTTTCACCGACATCGAAAACGATTTTAAATTAGCTATTGCAGGCCAATTTAAGGAGCTTCAGAATAAATTGGCAATGTATTCGCAAGAAGAATTGTCGGCCGCGGCTTACGCGCGCAATGGCGATCACATGACGTCGTTGCAAATGGCAGTGATCAATTGTCATTGTAACACTGTGCGCGTAATCGTTCATGCAAGAGTGACACGGCTTCGAAGTTATCACTATGATATTGATACTGACGAGATGATTATTGAAATAAAAGAGCTCATCGATCAAGGATATTGGTGCATTAAGTATGCATCAGTACTTATACTGGATCTGGAGGAGATACAGGTGTTAGGTGCTAACATGTTGCTTCAGGAAGTTGTTAAAATTCTTTCGAAAGCCTTCAATATAGCTAGGATCGCTGAGCGCGTTTTCAAACCTGACAACGGTGATCTCTATGAACCGTCAGGATTACTTGCTGTTGTCGATGAGATGATTCAAGTATTAGAGTTCCAAAATTTTTTCATGGTTGATGGTGATGGTATGCATATTCGTCGAGTAGCAGGTAAAGCCAGGTAAAATATGAATTTAATTATGTTAATAACTCAACGTACTAAATTAATTGACTCTCAGCGCTTCACGATTATAAATTTTATTTAAGATATTATATGTTATTCTTAGCAACTTCCAATATTTTTGTTAATTTATTGTTAATTTATATATTATTCGAAATTAAAAAGAAAGTTTTATGAACAGCTGTTTGTTATTGCTCTGGTTTTGTGCAGAACATTTTTTAACGAATACCTCGAAAATGCCATTACAAAATATGCGTATGTCTCTGATCAATTCGGTTTGTCTTACAGATTCTGCCAAATGCTATGCATTCGCGACAAAGATGATTTGAATAGCGATGAGTTCGAAGACGACGAAAAGGTACTATCATTCATTGCAATTCTTCAAATAGCAATAACCAGAAACATTGCTCGTTTTATGGGTAGGATCTTCACCGTTAAGTTAATTGAAGCAGCAAGAAAAAATGATTTAGAAACGTTCGATAAATACATTGACGAGCAATTCATCGATGTAAACTTTGGCTCGAAACGTGATGATAATCGGACATGTTTGCATTACGCTGCCGAAAATGGCAACGTACAAATGGCCCTTAAGTTGCTGAAGAGAAGAGCGCATGTCTATCTTTATACCAAATTGAATGCCGAGACAGCGTTATATCAGGCCGCCAAGCATGGTCATGTAAAAATCGTGAACATGCTGTTGCAGAAAGAGTGCGATATAAATATAAGCCACTTAAAAACCAACAAGGAGGAATGGACTCCCGTGCACATTGCTGCGAAACTCGGCCGATTGGAAGTACTGAGGTGTCTTCTAGAGCATGGGGCAATATACGACTCGAAAGACGCATCCGGTCAAACACCGTTAGACTTATCTTCCAATGTGCAGATCATTAATTTTCTCAAAACTCTTGATGAATTATTTTACATGGCTGAAAGAGTCGATCGTCACATACCGACGAAATTGAAAAGTCTAAGACACATCGATTTGGTGGCCGTTGGCAAAGCGCGCAACAGTAACGGACATACACTTGCTCAAGTTGCCAGAGCTGCTGGTAATGATTGGATCGCTAGCAATATTTTGCAACTAACTAAGAAAGAAAATAATCCAGAATACGTAAACCTTGATGAGAATCTTGAGCTCGAGTCCAATTCCAATGGGATGATGATGTATTATCTGTGGAAAGTAATGTCGGCATCACAGACGTAGATAATTGTTTGACTTCTCACTTTACGCACAATATTTATCGATAAATGTGCTGAATGGTTCTTCTTTTTTTATCTAGCGCTGTTCCTACGGCATTTCTTTTAAATAAATTATTCCTACTCAAGATAAATCATGTTGTTTATTTCAAGTAAAACTGCTCTGTACCTTGAATTTTTTATAAAAATAATACAGTAAACATGAAATTAGTCGGCTTTCAAAGTAAATCAAATTTCACGCTTGATTGTGTTACTTTCAACAACGGGTACCGTATGCATTATTGCGTTGTCACACCTGCGCTAAGAGTTTAGTGCACGTAGCAGATTTATTATTAAACACAGATATCTCAAAGTACAAATGTCAACTGTAAACGAAGAAAAAGGAAATTATCTGTTGCGGTAATGCCTTAATATATACATTACCGTAGTGTATTATGGTACGTGTGACTGAAGTAGTCCATTGTCACGTCGTAATATTAGGACCTGAGCATAGCCCGAGCAGCGATGGGACACTTGAGTCGTAAATATCGTACAACATTTTATGATCAGCAAGATTACTGATTTTGAATCGTCACTTACGGTTCGTCTATCTCAGACTTAGGATGGCTCAGTTCTGCACCGTAGCGCTCGTACTTCTAAGCACGCTGCAAACGTGAACTACTTAAGTCACGGATAGGCAGATTTAAGCCACGTGGTCCGATAAAGGTCGACACACTTCGGCAGGGTTCTTTCTATGGAGTAAAAGTTTGAATAATATCCTCTGAAACTTAACCTGCACATGTACATCGTTGCGAGAAATTATGTGCGATCTCTTTTAGCCTTGCCGAGCATTCATTTATTATAAAAGAAATACAATCATAGTTATTGAGGAATATTTTCGGGGTAATTTCTTTCATGTAATTGACGTATATTATTTCTAGATTAGCATGATCACATTTGACAGTTGAATTCCTTAATTAGTGAATTGCGCGTTCGCTGCGTCCGCAGACTTGTTAAACTAATTTCTTTGAAAAACGGCTGTGGCCTAAAAGATGAGCTTCAAGATCACTGTACGGCCTTACGTTGCACGGTTTGCTGCATAGGCCATAGCCATTATTGCGTTTGCCACTGTTAATTTTGAGAAATATCGCTACGTAATCAATTCAATTGATTCCCATATTATAGCCGAGCTCGTTCACGACAGATATAGATTATTCACGGCCAAACGAAGCACGTCCGCTGGAAAATCCATATCCCGAATCGTTCGTAACACGCGAAAGGAAAGAATGAAAAGCGGGCCAGTTCTCGATTCGCTCGAATGGCATTACAAACGGGCAGCTGTCGTGAAACGAAAATGAGACGGAAGCGGCACATTTCGTGAGGGCGAGCGTTGGCATTATGAATGATTATATACAAACTGGAAATGCGTGCGTGCGTTGCGAGGTAAGTCCTGCAAAAGCGTATTTCTAGTCCTGAGTGTGTGCTCGAAGCAGCCCGGCCGATAATCATGTTTGAGTTTTTGAAAAAAAATGTGCTATTCGCAATGAATGTACGCGTTTACTGATTTTCTTGGACGTAACATACGTGCGCCGCCCGTGCTCCTCGATTTGTTCGCAAGAAAGAGGGCGAAGGAGGGGGGAGGGGGAATCAAGTAGTCCAGTAAGTGTCCGTTGAAACCGAGAAGCAGAAGTTCATTGCACGCGCAAAACGAGACGAGCTTCCTCCCCCTTATCGCGGCGGGAGAGAGGAAAGGAGAGAGCGACCAATAATAGTACATTTCGATAATAGTGCGAGAAAGTGAATTGAGCCTCGTGTGAACGTTTACCAGACGAAAGTGAAATCACTTTCTCACTCATGCATCGAACTTCATTTTTCGACATAGGTGTGCGTGACGTGGGGACTTGACTTTACGCACGCTCGAGTAGCCGATCAGTCAAGCGTGCATATGAAGTTGAATCCTCAGGCACAGATGTGATCAGAAAGTACAGTACGACGAGGGCATTGCGAGGATCGTAACGATCACGCGGAGTGACACTCGACGACGTTGTCGCTTTGTCTATGCATTAGCTCGCCCAACGAAAGCGATGATGAAAAGGAGCAGGGAGGCGAATCGGAATCGTCTGCCTCACAATCAATTCGACTGTGCGATTGGCTTTTGCGGTCGATGCCCATCCGTACAGCTGGGCGCGAATCGTTTACGAGGCAAACTTCCCGCGCTGCAGTTGATTGCGCAACAATTGGAGTTAGTCTATTCGCGCAAGTTCGCGCCGCGCGTTAAGTGTCTGCCCGAGATTGGCTCATCGATCCGCTCCCTTAACTATTCGCTCAGCGTGATTATCACTGAGCATCCCGGATTGTTTATGGCGAGCCACTTCTTCTCCCGTAGCTAAAGTTTTCATGGCGCCGGAGAGGAGGCCTCATTGTCGGCATTGAGACTCGAGCAAGAGGCGTGGTTTCGGCCAACTATTGTCGATAAAATTATACGAGTCACATGATAATAATACCGAAGAGATGAGAAACGTTGCGAAATGAAATAATAACTTTAAATGGCTTTTTCACGTTTTACAGGGGAGATGAGCTATAGTAGCACCAGATAATTGTTAAATTTTTTTGTTTGCACTTACTTTGATAAGTGCCTTTCAGTTTTTCTTTCGATCAGTCGTGTGATTTTAACGATGAGTAACGACGACAGTTTGATTGATGTTGTTATGAGGTCTTACCATAAGATTCGAGGTAAACAAGGCGAAAAGATGAATGCCGATAAAATGTAATACCTTCCAATTTTTGAGACGTCCCTCGAGACTGTAAAGGCACTTAGTACATCTTGATTTCCATTAAATATCCAGCTAATTATCAAAACTTTAAAGGAGTTGAAAGACTACGCTAAGCAAAGTAAAATGTGCTCTTGGATAGTGCAAGTTTTCTACTTTAATTTGTTTCACTTTTTCTTAGTGTGAATTTGAAGTCGTCTGTAGTTCATGAGCTTCTCTCAGCGTTACTATAGCACTAATAAAGAACTTACGACCGAGTGTGTAATTAAATCAAAAATATAATTGTATTTTATGTAAACAATATTGATTTGGAAAAAAAGAGATGTAGAAATGAGACTTCACCCAACAAAGCAGTAGCCGTCTACGCAAGTAAATGATAAAAAACAAAAACATTGATTTAATATTTCGTAGCCCTGTTTATTGGCTGCTTCAATTACAAACAGCTCGGAAACGAGTTATTCTCCACTTACTGCACAAACGTGCTTTTTCTCTTGTGGTATTTGAAATAATGTAAACACGCTGGTATCTCTATTCAGATGTCTTACGAGACGGATTCTTCGAAACATCTTTCATTTCAATGCAAAAGAACGGACACTGACGCCCAATCCAAACAAAGTCCGTGACCTAGGGGGCTGTGTTTATCCCCTTGTATGTAATAAGCAGACAGCACAAAGTAGCATGAAAAACTTGGATACGACGTTCGTGGAAAATCCTGCATCGGAATGACGAGAACGCCGACTTTCTATCTCCGCCACTGTAAAGCCGAACAAAGGGAAGAACCGATGAGGGCGGAGAAAGGAGGCTATTGTGGCCACTTATTGTCGTTGCGCAGCAGCTTGAGCTCAAGAGCGTTGTTATCAGGACATAATTATCACATTCGCAACCAGCCGAGCGCGAAGCGCAGCCTCTCTTTCCCTCTGTTCTCTCTCTCTCTCTCTCTCTCTCTCTCTCTCTCTCTCTCTCTCTCTCTCTCTCTCTATACTTTTCCAGTATGCCACGCTGTGTGAGTAAGTAGGTGGTAAATGGAGGTAGGCGCTACAATGGAGTAAGAGCACCTTTATCTGTAAGTTTTTGGCTTTCAATATTATTGATAAAGTAATGATTTTTGTCCACTCAAAACAAACGCAAGGTAAACAATTTCGCAACTGGTGTGTATTTAATGAAGCAAGAAGCGGGGCTTCGAAGTTTGGTGCAAGGTTATCGATTTAGTCGAATTAAAACGAGCGGCATTAATGTTTTAGCAGGTCGAATTTAGTTTTCACGAGAAAAACAAGGTTATAAATGGACCGAACGCTCAATGATTAATCCCGGCCTGGAATAGCTTTCAACTTTCGGATGAACTCTCCGCAAGAAGAAATCGTAATTTTCTTTCTGGTAGCGAAAACATTCACGAAAGTAACTCCAGAAGTATAAAAAAGAGAAGATAGAGGGTGGACCGATGAATTAAAAATGACCTCGGTGCCTGCTGCTTCCAGAGCTATACTATCGTCTGAATAACTAACAAGATTTCCGAGGAGCCGACGGCAGCAACAAGAAGACATCAATCGCGTCGCTCTTGCTCTCAAACTAAATTTAAAATTGCCGTCGAGCGCGCGAGCTGAAGGCGTTCGCGTCAACGGATAACGCCCCGAAATACTCTACGGGCGAAAGTTGCCGACGATTTATTCGTCGCTACGCGGCGCGGCCAGTTTCGTCCGGCAATCGAGTTCCTCTGATTCCCATCCGAAGGGTAACGTCTCGCGCCACGTCGGTACGCCGCGTGGTAGGTAATACCACACTCGCGATGCTCATTGCGCCCGTGTTTTGTCGTTTAATTTACTCGCCAGCACGTGCCGCCATTGAATAACGAAGGAGCTGGTTGGCCGCCCGAAAGAGCAAGCAGAAAACGGGAAAAGAGAGGACGGCATAATCGGATACAAAGTGACCCACGCCAGTTCAAGCTGCTCCCCTCGGTCACGCTTACTGTTTTCGGAATACACGGAGATGAATAATTAAAATGCACTTTCTACTTGTGGATTCTGGCTGGGGCCGCTTAACGGAGTGCGCGGCGCGCGCGGCGCATTCAGCGGATGTTTCCCGTTTCAGATCGAACGTAGACTTCGGCTAAACTTCTTCCGAGTCGATACGCGGGTCTTTCCGAATCGACCACGTTAGCGATGGAAAGAAAGCCCAAAGAAAGTTGACGACGATCGAATGACTTCGCGCGAAGACGATCGGGGACGAAGAACTCTCGGCGAGCTACACGCGATGACACAACGGCCAAGTCCAACCACGTATAAGAGCTGTCTCTTAGCGCGTTCGGCTCGAGTGCTCGAGCGGACGAGTAGCTCGGGCAACGTTCTCGCGACTCTATGCTGTACCGCTACTTTCGTATTCGCACTGCTGCTCGAGACTGGCCAGTCTAACTTACATATTCTATCTCGTTCCGCGTGCAAAGAGCAGCCTTATCGAAGCGCTCGACTGTTCAACGACGCGCATTTTTGCTTTTACGCCGGAGCAGGCATCCACGAGATAGCGAGTCATTGCCCGTCCGTCGGATTCCGAAATAGCGGGCGGCACTGATGGAATGCGATGGCGCAGCATAATCCCTTCGGCATACCGGGCACGTTCCGGGCGATTTCGGTCTCGACGAGCCAGAGGCCCTTCGACGCTTTGCAGATATGTCGAAGCTCCAATTGCGCAGGAAGCCACGAGGCTGCAAGCCAGTGCTACTCGAGAGAATCGCTCGTGGTTATTGTTTGCCGATTACAGTTGCAGCTTCCAACTCTGGAATCGATCGATGGGGTCAGTCCGCGAAGCCGTTGGGTAACGCGACAAGTGAATTGAAAGTGAAAAGCACGTCGCGAAAGAGTGTTACTTGGACGTCGAACCCAAAGTAAATGCGCCGTGCGTGGCCCTATCTTTTCACCGAAAATCCGAAAATCATTTGAGCTCGCTAGAGTTAGTGAGCTTTCTGTACAATCCACTGCGATATTACTTTCTCGAAGAACAAAGCCACAGATATTTCCATTTCGGGATTGAGCAACGCTGCTTCGCGATTTTTACAAAGTCTATACATGTCGATAGAGTCAATGACGCTACGCGCGACAGATCATCGCGATCAATCTGGTCAATGTCTCTGACAACTCCGACGTGCAGCTTTTTGTCGACTGAGTATAGGAATGGGACAGCCCTTTTTGTGGTATTTCCGCTATCCACAGCTGTCCGGGTATGTTTATTTTTGTCCGTCGCTCGAAAATCCACGGTACAAACGAGAAAACTCCAATACGAGGCCGCGCTTATGAAACCGCTACAAGTAGTGCAACTACAAATAAGCTGTTTTCTGGAAGAGAAATTTCAACTCACAATACGAACAATCGATCCCAATGATAATCAACTGTTTTAATAATGACTAAAAATAATGTAAACAAGTAAATAATGTAAAATAATATGCAACTAGTCCTGAATTTTACAGCAGGGAAATTTATCTTACTTCTTTTTAGAAATCTAAGAAATTGAAGAGGAGAGACTGGCAAAGGAAGAAAGTAAGCACCTTGTGGATAAATTAATTCAGAAAAGCTCGATAATAAACGGAGGTCCGTAATTCCGTTGGAGCAAGGCAGCTTTCTCGAGTGCTGTAAGCATCTTACGAAGAGATCAGGCGACTTCAGATTGGATGGTCGCTCGCTCCACTCTCGATGTATAACGCATGCATCGGTCCGACACGACTCTGCCTACAGAGAGAGCGAGCTTGCTGCGGTGCCGCTGTGTCGCTCTCGCGAGCACGCGGCCAATCAGCCAAATGGACCGGATGACGATACAGGGTGACCTACGCCACTCCATACAGCTGGTCAAAAACGTGGAAATCTAATTTTTTTTTTCCTTCTGCATTCCTTTCTTCTTCCTCTGCCCGTCTCGAGGATTATGGTACTCGAGCTGAAAGCAACTCAACGGCCTTTAATTTGAATCGCCGATCGAACAGTTGAATTCGACCAGACAAGGACTTTATACAGTTGGACGGTATCGTTTCGGGCTATATTTCCACCTGTGGTTCATCTCAATTTGGAAGATTGATCGAAGATTGATTGAAACTTACGTATGTCTAGTTATTGGGAAGTCTATGTCGAAAGTGGTTTGATCGTCTTGAAAATTGAATAGTCGTGTTCGATTTACAGCTCGCAAATCATTCTTACGTTCTCTAAATTCCTTCCTTTCGCTTGCAAATTCGACGAATATTTTTTAAGATTTGACATGTTCAATTGTATTTGTTATTTTGCTTTGATATATGAACAACTAAAAGGTATCAGTTGTAAAATTATTTGGAGATCACATTGATGGTTTGTTACAACAAATGACTTTGAGTGACGTTCGAACGAGTGAATTGAGCAAATCGAACGCCGAGCACGGTATTCCAAGCCATAAATCGAACGCGACCAGTTTGATGTTCAATTTTAAGAACTTCGTAAGCGTAGCATATTCTGCGAATAACCAACTTCGTAATATTATATAATAAGAACTCGTATTTGCATAATCTGGAAGTTTTTGTTTTAAGACGCATTAGATTATGAGCAAAATAATGTTCGGTATGTTGCTTCCGCTCATTTTATTTCCGATTATCATTTTAGACGTTGTTTGTTTTTCAAATCCGGCCCAAAGTAGAGACTTTTCAAGACTTATTTCCACTTGATACCAACGAAGATTTTCTTTAAACACGGCTCTGAATATTTCTAACCATTATTATTGATAAGACAGTATCATGTGTCTGGTTAAAAACGGTAATCGTAGATTAAACGATTGAAACGGACAGATCCTTCCGAGGAAAAACTCTTCCACCCCTTCAGATCAAGCGGCAACTCGCTTCTCACGCGCGAAAAGGTGAAGTCTTACCAAACGTAATTCGAAATTCTCAGGAGGTGATCATCGGATTATTAAGCGAATGCGCCCAGACGACAGATATTCGAGACGGAACAAGAACACTGTGGCTCTATATACGTTGATCGGGCGCTGCGGCTGACGGGGCGCCTCGGCTATTTATATTTATATAAGTCACGCAATTAGACGCAGAGGCGGTACTGCGACTAGCGCGCGAGTGCAATCCAAAGACAAGAAGCGGAATAATGTTTGCGATGGCGCTTACGCGCTAATTCAACGGCTTCTGTTGGCTGCCTCAAGTTTCGGCCTTCCAAGCCGGAATGGATGCTCTCGCGGTAACGAACGTGACACTGATTACTTTCTCGGTCGCGGATCGGAAAAGCCACCGGTGACAAATCTTGAATACTTTGTTGTCAGTTTATCCGGAGATACGCGTACTTTATAAGCCAAGTACTTACAGTTTGCCGACCGATGACGCAGGCGCTTTGTCCTTGGAGCAAAGGTTTGAATGTTTGTAAACGAGACCTCAAGGTGAATCGCTTTCTTAATATTTATTACGATGTATAGTATTTATTGTATTGGTAGATTGAGCGGCTAATTTATAAGGACACGTATCAATGTCTTAATTATATGTTCCCGTAGTAAATCTATCGCGTGGCAAACTAATATTAGCCAATATATAAATAAACGAAGCAATTAATGTAATTTTATCCAGCAAAATCAATTGAAGAAGCTGCTCCAAGAATTGTTTTACAGACGACATACGGATCAATGTCTGTTCTGATATGGACAACGCAATTCATTGTCTTTCCTTGATCAATCAACGAGAACGTAGGGATTGGCCCTTCCACGTGGTCGTACGTGACAGCATTTCTTAACATTGGGATAAATCTATTCTCCAATCTATTCATCCAGAAATTAGCAGTCGTCGTTGCTTCTTCATCGGTTCCTTCGCGCATGTTATACGTTGAAAAAAAGTATCTAGTATTTGCAAAACCACTTGGTATTCGTGGACCAAAATTCACCGTAAGGTGAAATTCTTCTGCGACGCGTTGCATAATGAAACGGGACATCCACAACTCGTCGCTGACACGTACTGCGTTGTTTGGTCCACACTAAAAGTACAACATTGAATATGTGTGTTAATGAATAGAGTATTTTCAGTGAAATATGCGAACACTCACCATGTAATAAAAACAGCTATGGTTATTTAAATCGAAGTAGCCGATACATAAGCCTGCGTAATTACAAGCTTTATAAAAGCATTCTAATATTTTTCTAACTGTATCCTTGCGTGCAGCAGTTATCTCTACGTCCATGTACTCGTGAAAATGGAACTCCTGCTCGATGTGGAAATAATGACCATCCAAACGAGTCGCGTGTGTTTTACTGTCGCACTCTCTGCGATTCTTCGTATGTATTGTTGGCTCGCGATTCATCGATAAGGTTTCGCACAAAATAACATATCCATGCTTAGGTCGAAACGGATCTTTATAATTTACCTTTGGCTTCAAAATTCCCGAGCTATCTTCATCTTCGTAAGTCCATTTTGGAATCTTCGCACCTATATACATAGCAATAATGTTGAAATTGGCAAATTTTCCAAATGCAAAATAATAATATTCTTGTATATTACATATGGACGCTAGGGGACAAGGATGATTAGTCTCATCAACATTTCGTACTTTACTGATGAACCGCCAAAAATTATTAAAAAAATTGATCCATACGTATTCTACCCTGGTCGTGTCATCCTTCAATTTCATATACCTTTCCGTTACTGATGTCAATTCAGGGTCACACATTCTTAGGTCTTGAGATGACGATTAAATTCCTAGAACCAACATTTTTCGACAACAATCATTGGCGTTTTGCTAACTTTTTATTTACAAATAATTTATGTAAGATTTATTTTGTGAACGTCTGATACGTAAACTTAAACAAATAGAAAGAGCTTTCTTTGAAATAATTTATACGGATAACCGTTAAAATTACCTTCTAAATTTCTTCTTGATGAATCAATTCAATCAATAATTAATTCTCGGAAAATCCAATTAACACACTATGGTATTTATTCTCGTAACTATTTACGATTAAATTACAATTCCTTATTTTCGATGATATGCAAGATTTATTAAGATACTGTTTTCTTGAAAAAGCAAGGACGCCTTCTGTCGTAACGCGGGCACAGTTGACTGAAAGCGGAAAACGGTAGTCGTCGATGAAACTTCCTATCCATCTGTTCTAACGTACGAACCGGAAGTTTCATTCTAAGATTACCGTTCCAATGGAGGGATCGGAAGTTTCCTCGACGATTATTACTGTAGACTATACGTGTGATAATGTTTTATTAATAATAATAATTAGCAATATTGGGAGCCCGTGTTTAAAGCAAATTAACGTTGGTATCAAATGCAAATAAGCCTTAAACGGTCTCTATTTGAGCTGATATTTGACATGAGAACACGATCGAAAATAAGTAACCGAAAATGAAACGCTCGGAACTGACGAACCGGAATCTTTTTGCTTGGGCACGTTCGATTACAATACGAACCGTTGGAACAGCCAGCTACCGTTTTTCACTGTTAATCGAACGTACCCGTCATAACATAACGTACCTTGCTCTTTCAAGAAAATAGTATCTTGATCAACCTTGCCAATCGTCGAGAACAAGGAACGTTTTCGTTCAACGTAAAAAGTAAAGAGGACAAATACTATTGTACCTGAAGTGTATTTTCCAAGACTTGATTATTATTCATCAAGAAGAAATTCTGAGGACAATTTCGAAGGTTAGCAAAATAAATTCTTTCAAAGAAAGCTCTTTCTATTTTTTACGCATCAGCAATCCGCAAAAGAAATCTCACGTAAACTACTTGTAATAATAATAATAATGTTTGCGAAATGCTAATGATTGTTGTCGAGAAATGTAGGTTCTAGAGAAGACGGCCTAAGAATGAGTGCGCCTCAATTAACAACATCAACAAAGAAGTATTGGGATTTGAAGGACAAGACGGTGAGGGCAGAATATGTATGGGTGAACTTTTCTAATCATTTTTGGAAGATATTCAGTAAAACAAGAAACCTTGATTCAATGGAATGGTCCGCTCCGATTTTCAAATGTAATAACTGATATTATTGGGTTATTATGAAACGTTATTGATCAATTCTCATGCGAAAAATTGCTAATTTCGATACTATTGTTTGAACGCATGTAGCTGCGAAAATCCCCAGATGGAATTTCGAAGACCTGTACAACTCGGGATCTTTACAGCCAGCGGTAAATTTTGATGATCCCTTCCGACCTAAACATAGCTACATCACCTTGTGTGAAACCTTCCTGGAGGAGGAGGTGCCCATGCCGTTTACGCGGTATCGTAAGGACTGCCGCACTAAAGCTACCGTGGCTCGTTTGGACGGCCATTATTTCCACATCGAGCAAGAATTTCATTTCGAAGAGTATGCCAACATAGAGTTAACTATTGCACACAAGGACGTCATTAGAAAGGTGTTAGACTGCTTTTATAAGGCTGCTAATTACGCCGGCTTATGCATATGCTCTTTCAACTTGCGCAATAATCGCCTTTTTAAATACGTGGTGAGTGCACGCTTATTTTGCCAAAAGCACTAACGAACTCTTGATTAACACATTCATTCAATGTTACGAATGTTACGTTCTTAGACTGGACCAAGCAATGCCCTGCGCGTATGCGACGAGTTGTGGATGTCTCGTTTCATTTTCCAACGCGTCGCAGAAGAATTCCACTTGACGCCTTGTTTCGGTCCACTAATATCGGGCGACGTAGCACACAATACTTACATTTTTTCATCATTTAATATGCGCGAAGGAAGCGATCAAGAAGCAATGGGCGAGGCTCAGATTTGGTTAGAAGGATTGCAAACTAAATTTACCCGGATGATGCGATCTAGCATCATCTTCGATGAGAGGATAAGGCCGTCACCTACCTACGCTTTATTTGATAATAAAGGTCGTACGCATCTCGAATTAAAAATAGCATGTGACATTGATCCGTACGTAGTCACAAAATCAATTATTATGGCAGCTTCTTCAATTGAGTTTAATGTACAAAATACTTAATTACTTGCTTCATTCGTTTATACTTATCTTTATAGGCTAACTAGTATTAGTCTGTCACACTTTAGTTACTATGTTGAAATATTATTACGACGTCTATACATGTCCTTATAATTTTATTGCCTAGCTTGTTACTTAATGCTCCGTTCGCATTCGATGCGCTCGCTTGCCTCAATCTACCAATCATACAAATTTCAATCCTAATAAATATTAAGAAAGAAATTTACCTTAAGGTCTCGTTTACAAACATTCAAACCTTTGCTCCAAGGACAAAACGTCTGCGTCATCAAACTGTAAACGGTCGGCAAACTGTAAGTACTTGGCTTATAAAGTACGCGTATCTCCGGATAAGCTGACAGCAAAGTATTCAAGATTTGTCATCGGTGGCGTTTCCGATCCGCGACCGAGAATCGATTAAACGCCGAGAAGGTAATCAGTGTCACGTTCGTTACCGCGAGAGCATCCATTCCGGCTTGGAAGGCCGAAACTTGAGGCAGCCAACAGAAGCCGTTGAGTTAGCGCGTAAGCGCCATCGCAAACATTATTCCGCTTCTTATCTTTGGGTTGCACTCGCGCGCTAGTCGCAGTACCGCCTCTGCGTCTAATTGCGTGACTTATAAATATAAATAGCCGAGGCGCCCCGTCAGCTGCAGCGCCCGATCAAATACATAGAGCCACAGTGGGCTGCAGCGGACTTTTTTTCCTTCTGTTTCCCTTCTTGTTCCGTCTCGAATATCTGTCGTCCGGGCGCATTCGCTTAATAATCCGATGATCGCCTCCTGAGAATTTCGAGTTACGTTTGGTAAGACTACTTTTTTGCGCGTGAGAAACGAGTTGGCGCTCCAACTGAAAGGGTAGAATATTCGTTTTTCCACAAAAGGAAAGAGAGAGTTTGATCGATGTGCTTTCAAACCTATTGACGTCGCGGCGATTGACAATTTCGTAAAAACGTTAGTGCGGATACTTTTGGCGAGAGGTCGGCAGTCAAAATGGATTTTTCATTGTTGCCTCCGCGCGTGAATGGAGTGAAGTTGGCAGAGCCCATTTTGAAAAATAAAGAACCAAGGGAACGATTTAATTCCGCATTGATGCTTTCAATCTCGCGCGCGGGACAAGCAGCAGCACTGATAAACTTCCAATTCGATATTTCCCAGCTTTCTTTCTCTCGTGTGATCTGCGAGCAAATCAATGTAGCCCCATCTGCTGGAAATCGATTCTAAGCTAATCGACGGAGAAAGAAACGACGGCGATTCGTCTCGCTTTCTTCGCGTGAACAATCCGAGGAAAAAAAAATATCAATCCGTGCAATGCCAACGCGAAGAAAAGCCAGTTCTATGGCGCCTTCGTGTCCAGCACGTCGTCGCAGCCAATCATCTCTTTAGCCTGTCTTCAGAATATAAACGGTGACTGAATAAAAAGTGACACACGTGATCGATTGTGCCACGAGAATTCGAATTTAAAACGTTACACATGGGAAAACGAACAACGAGCACCGATCTTCAGTCGTAGTTAAATTGGATTTTCTCGTGGACTTTACCAATAGAGGACGAATTCGCAACAACGAGTATCGTATCGCGACCGCTTATCACTTGCATACACGCTCGTACTACCTGCACGAAAACTTGTACACAGAAAAATTGTTGGAAAGGGGGAGGGGGGGGGGGGATTTCGGCCGGAGGCTAGTAGTTCGTGTAGTAGCCAAGCGAGCCGATATTAAAACCGCCGCGGCGAGCTTTTCTCATACTTTTTCGCGTGCTCCCATCAGGATTTTCGTATTGGCCTTTTAAAATTGGTTGAATTGCTTGCAAAGTCGCAACAAAGTTACGCGCCGCGCCGATTAAACCCGTCTGAATTTCAGCGCTCTCGCGATAGGAGTGAGGCCGTAACCCCGGCCCTTGTGATTTGCCACGAGGAAATTTTCTATTGAATTTCATGAGTTCGGAAAGGGCTGAGGACGGCCAACTCGTAAAAGATGTATCCAATTTGAAGGCAGCTGCTTAAAGATCAGAGAGCTCCGGTGCTGATGGTCTCGGCCCAATGAAAGTAAATGAAAGGGGCGTGCCACTCTATATTAAAAAACTTGAAAATTAAAGTGGCTCGGCGGCTCATGCCCAACCGACTTTCCCTCTCCGTCACGGCTACTTCATCGTTCCATCGACGCGAAATACTGCAGCTTTCTCCTGCATAATCCCCTTGAAACGAAGCTCGCGACGAAACAAATGATTTCCGAGCTTTGAAGGTTTTTCCTAACGAGCAAAGAAGGGCAAAGAAAACTTGACGGATTCTTTCGATGGATTCCAATGCTTTTAACTTTGGTGAAACTTTATTCGGGAATCCATTCGGATCGAGGAAAACGAAGTTAACGACACGCACGCGCGCGCACAAGGCAATGCATCACTCTAGCGCTGGCCCCGAAGGCGAAACAATCATGCAAAAGTGAGCAGCCACCAGTGGCACCCACAAAAAGATTATCAAATTTATCACTCGTATAGCCCGCCTGCGATAAATCCTCGACATCGGGGCTGCGACAGTTATAGCGGCTCGCGGGCGCAATGGAGATTTATTATAATGTTCAATTTCCCATGCGCGCGTCATTGTGTGGGAGGGATGGAGGGAGGGAGCTATTTATCGAGCATTCGAGCAATGCGCAAACAACGAGCTTCGGCTATTATTTGTACGTACGCGTGTTTCCGGTAAGCAGCGCCACAGTGTGCGTTCTCAATTGACTGACCGCATCCCGGAATGGCTATACGCTCCATTAGATCACTGGCCTTTCGAGGATCGAGGAAAGGCATATTTGGTAGGCTCGAAGCTTGATACCGGCACGGAATGCACTTGAATGATTCGCGGATACGACAATTGAACGATTTGCTTGGGCACGAAAGCTCGGGCTTTCCGTTTCCATTTTGACGCTTCTTTGTCGAGACTTGACGCGAACGCAAACTTGGCAGGCTTTTCCCGCTGCGCGCGAGAGTAATTCAAAAAGCTCTCGAGGCACGTTCAATGTAATAACAACTTTTGGTGTCGTGCGTTTTACGCGTTTTTGTACATCCTCGAAGCAGCAGTTATTAAAATTCCGCTTCGTACATGATTGTGGTCGTACAATCACTAAACTAAAGGAAATATCAAGAATTAAGTTAAAAAAAACGGGCAGTTCGCCATCTGCACGACAGTAGAGTGACTTTTATTGGGTGTATTTTATCCGGCCACCTTTGTCGTAACAGTGTCCGCGCGATAAATAAAGAAACGAGGACATTACCAATGGACTTTGGTAACTAGAATTAGGCAATGGGCGTTGGTAAACTACAACTAACACGTAAATACGTCATAAATTTTGCTCTGTCAATGAGGATGTTAGACATTGACCGATGGGGGCTTGTCTCGCGCGCACACGATCCATTAACATGTTTGTCCATCGCGCAGCAAAGATAATCTCCAACAATCGCGCCAGTGCGTCTCGCATCATGCATATTCCATTCGGATAGTTGATGCGTTGTCTATAGGTGTCGCGAGCTCGCAGCCTTTGTTACAAGGATAAGCTTCCATCCCGTAAAAAGAAAGCAACGATCGCGCGATGACATTGCGAGCTCGTACTTCATATCTTGAGAACTTCACGGTAAGCAAGCTAGTAGTAAAAGAGGCCAAGTAGTGCGTTAAAATGAAACGTACAGCGAGGAGGCTAAGAGCTATAGAAAAGCGCAACAAGGAAGAACTTAACAAGGACTAAGGCAATGAGAGTAGAAGGTGAAGTGGCGAAGGCAAGGTAGAGAAAGAATGTCCGAAGAGAGAGGCAAGTTTAGTGTAGGTATATAAGTGCGCGCTAAGAAAGAATCCAATTCCGTTCGCGCGCGCGCGAGAGAGAGAGAGAGAGTATAATGCAATTGACTTCGCATAAGAAATCGTGTCTCCATTTCCCTGAAATACACACTTATCCTTATTACGAATTGACTTTGATCGCCAGACTCTCTCTCTCTCTCTCTCTCCGAAAGCTCCACTTTGATCGGAACGTACATTGAGATCACCCCCTCTGGATTCCCCTATAATGCACTCTTGTAATACTACTCGAACTCTGAAATATACTTTTTTCTTATCTCTATCGGGATTGTACGCTGCTTTATAAATTGGAGACATCTTTATAGTTTTCCAATTTCCAGCAAGCTTGTACTCTTTTTTTCCGAACGATCCTTTGTTGCTGATGTTCAATAGGCTATTCACAACATATAATCTGATAGGAGGGACCTTTGGAATATCAAGCATCATTTGTTAATCGAAAAAAAAGTCTGTCACGCAATGAAACGCGCAAGAAAGAATCATCAAAAGTTGGTGATAACGTAGAGCATGTTGATCTGACCTCTTGATAATTCACCCCATGTAAGTCTTCTGACTTTTTTGACCTGACAGTCAGTTCATAGTCCCGTTTACGTGTAATTACGCGGGGCAGAGACAAAACAGTAAAAGAAGTATTAACTACACGATCGCATTAACTGCTACGTGTTTGAAAGCATGTATGTCTCTTGATAGGTATGATCTCGTTACATCGTTATATGTCATAAAATATAATAGTGATGGTAAGTATGTTAACGTACTTTTTCCTAATAATATTATGTTTTATGAGCAGAATATAGTCAATGGGATAAATATTCTATTTTCAATCTACGCCTTGGAAACAATCTTTCTTAGCCTTTCCTATAGGTATACCAGGGATTGCTCCAACACTCAGGTCATATCGATGGATAAATTAGCATTAGATGGATAAAAACCTTCAGCAAGGGGTAATAAATGAATTTTTTTCCGATAGCTCCAAATTGTTCCAATATCCGTCTGTCAAAGTTCACCGGCTCTTTTCGATATTCGACCCCTAATAGATTAATGTCAATCCACGATCATCAACTCCGATACAGCGTGTATTACTTACCATCACCTTAGTCGCGCACAATTCGTGATCCATCGTACTAATTGCATCGTAGCCGCGGCGCAGTTAACATGTAAATAGGTCGTCGTACCGCCTTTGTCAGTCTAATCGAATCTCTTAGATATACGTATAACGCGCTTTCACCTCGTGTTCGTCCTTTTCTGCATATCAAATTAGCAATCGGGGTCCACGCAGATTTTTCCCAACGAAAGCTAGTTTCGCGCGCACGAGGTCGTCGCGACCGCTTCGATATCAATAGAATTGACGCTGTTGGCTAATTATACACGGGACGATAATTAGTCGCCCGATCCCTCGCGGCTGAAATTTTTATCGACGTTGCTCGAGGTCACGATTTCCGCCAGTTGAACATTTCACTCGTTCGAGTGCAAGCGAACTTGGAACAAGGTGCCGGCGGTGCCTGCGTGTCCGCTGAAACTGGCAAGGAAAGCAAGAGCAAGAAAGTGATCGGTAATGGGCTGCTTGCCGTATAACCATGTCCCTCGCGAGCTCGCGAACGGCGTCTTTTCCGAAGAGACGCCATTTTGCCCAACATAGACCTTCTTCGCTCTCGCGCTCATCCCGGTAGTCGCCAGAGAAAGAAAATCGGCCCTATTGTCGGACGTCCGAGGCCCCGGCGTATGGCTCACTGCTCACTTCGTATTCAGTTCGCTTGCCTTAGCTTCTCTTCTCAGCTGCTACGGCGACGAGCCTTTTTTCTTCTTTGTTTTCCATCCAGCTTTTTATTCATGTTAGTCCACGGTTCGGCTCTTTTGTTCGTCGGAAAATCCTTCGCGAAGAGCAGGTGTATAGATCCGCGTTCGACTTTTCTTCGATCTATTCGCGCGAGAATTATTTCCCCGTTAGTCTGCGTCTCATCGCAATTTCGAGACTTATCGGGGAAGGCGGATAAATCAAACGCGAAATTTTCAATTCAGATGTGCATAGACTGGCTTACCCTGCACTACGACGCGATGCCTCGTTGTGTCCCACGTAGAAACTTGCCACCAGTCCTTATCTGATTTTTAATCGCTCGTAATAAACCTCCGCGCGAGAGAGGGAGCAACGAAAGCTTACTATTTCGGGGGAAGAGGAGCGAGACGAGAGAGAGCAATTCCAACACGTTAATTTTGTTTTCAATTTGCCGTAGGGCTTCCAAGTACTTACTCAGTAAAGACGGCTGTAGTTGCATTATTTCAATTGCTATTCATTTTACTCGTGGCACTATTAAATTGCTCGATAATTGAACTCGGTCCGATTGTTCGATAATTGAAGTGATCCAATAATACCATCCAATTTTCGCGCCGTTCAACATCAAATTCTTTTTCGTTGTCGCCGAGTCAACTTGTTTAATATTCGACGCTAATGAAAGAGAAATAATTGTGCACTTTTTGAAATTCTTCTTTAGCGTCCGCTCTTTTTAACAATCATCCGATCTAATATTAAACGCGCAATCGGCCTTGAAATTCCGCGTGGATAATGCGCAGTCGGGCGATTATGCTGCGTGTGTTTGATAGGCAGAGAGTAATCACGTTGGATTTAATCGTACAAAATGATATATTCGAACGGGACGTATGCGCCCTTCCTTGTTGCCCATTGTTATTAAAAAGGGGAATGCGCGCGCGCGCTGGTCGGCCGCTCGTCGAGATTGCAAATCAATCTCAGCTTCCGAAAGACGAGCACCGAGAAAAGGAACGAGTGTCGCTCCGCCCTCGGTCAGCTGATCTTGGCGTTTTCGGCGAGGAGCGAGAGGTACGCGTGCGCGGGATGAAAGCTCGGGTTGAAAGTGGGGTAGTAGTTGGTCGCGGCAGTGTCGACGTTGGCCGCGGGCGGCCGGGTCGTCAGTCGAGCGCGCCGAGCCGAGCTGCACGTTGCACGTACACATAAACACACCAAACGGACAGACAGACGGACAGACACAGACGGACAGAGAAAAAGCGAGGGAGAGAGAGAGAGAGTGAGAAAGCCACTCGCTTCGGCTTCCTTCTCTCTCGCAGTCGTGATCTTCTTTCGTGATGAACCTACCAATCGTGGCCATGGATTGACGATAACCGTTGCTTGTTTTTTTTTGTTTGGGGGTGTGTGCGCGAGAGAGAAAGAGAGTGCGGTCGGAGCTTGGCTGTTGGTACAGAGACGTTTGCGCTCGACCGCCAACGAGAAGACTCGCGCGAGGACAAACGAGAAGTAACAGGTAAGCAGCGCTTGATTACTTTCTTTTTCGGCGTCTACGCGCGAAGGACGCGTGAATAATTTCTCGAGGGTGTCAATGTTTGATGAGCGCGCGAGGTGAGTCGCTGCTCATGCGTTATTGGAATACATTATACTTGGGCGGGCATACACATACAGCCGTCGATTTTGTTGTTGAATAATTAATGCTAGCCGCCGTTGAGTTGTGCAAACTATTCGATAACATTCATCGAGCGAATAATTGGCGCCTGAACCTCAAGCGCGACAGAAAACAAAATGCAGATCTCGACGACGCGTTGATATCGCTCGAGTAATTAAAGCTGGCTGTCGAAACGAAGCACGTGCACTTGCGAATAGAGTGGCAAAGAGAGAGAAAGCGAACTCGGGTGTGATACACGTATACATATTTCTTTGAAGCGCTTGCTTTTGCGGCTAGACGCACAATGCGACAAGGCTCACAGCTGAGCTAACGCAAATGTCGTGCTAGGACGACGAATCGAGCTTCAACGCGTGAGCGACGCTTCTTTCGCGCCTCGCGATCGTATAGACGACTCATCTCTCTCTCTCTCTCTCTCTCTCTCTCTCTCTCTCTCTCTCTACGAGCCGAGTGCATTTTGAACTTTCAAGCGTACGACTTTAATTACGCGATGAAGTTTCTCTTTTAGAACCTTCCTGCCATGCTCGCACGTAATTGAAAAATTCATCTGATTAAATGCGCGAGTGAATTTCGTGCACTCGTCGACTTCCCCGACTAAAAGTTTTTCTATTATTCATTTTGATTATTTTTTTTTTCGTTTGCGAGGGGATTTGCGCGAGTGTATTTTGCTTGAAACGCGAGCACTTTTCGCTGAGTTAGCAAGGGGGCATTTTGCGCGCGGCGCTAATACACTGCTTTGCCGTGGCATGCGCGAGAGTCTTGCATGCGCGCTCGTATACTTTGCCGAACTGTCCAGCGCAAAAACAACATTTTCCCGGAGCTTTGCTTAGCTTTCGGCGAGACGCGCGCGCGCGACTTTTTCAAAGCACCGAGACTAGGGCTGTCTTCCGAAAACGCCTTTTTCTTCCGACGATGAATTAATGAGTTTAATCTATCGGCGCCTGAGGGAACTTTGTTGAACTTCAATGACGCAGCGTCTATAGATTCTCGTCATTACGAATGAAAGGCGAGCGGAGCGGGGTGCCCTATACTTCAAACTGTGCCCCGCAACTTTCCTCGGCGCTGCACAAAAGTTGATGCACCGCACAGCGCGAAAGACGCCGAGCTGCGAGGCAGGAATGGATCGAAAGGTAAATGCTCGTTATTTGCTTGGCGCAACTACCACTACGACGATTTTCGTAGTTAGTTGGCTCGTCCATTAGATGCCCTCAATCAAATTTTAGTCACTCGTAACGATTGCGATGAGGTCGAATTTCTCGCACGAGGTGATGAAACGCACTTGGCATATTTATCACGTTTATTCCATTGCCGATGGATCTGACTCTATGCCGATCAATCTCAGCAGTTGAGAGATAAATATTCATTCGCTTTCTCTCTCTCTCTCTCTCTATTTATCCTTCCAAGTACAATGAACAATTGCACCGCCGCACTGCCAAGAAGAAGCACCGAAAATACGTTCCCCGCGGACGACAGCTTGGTATCTCGTTCGACTGTCTACGCGACACGCGTGCGGGGACAGCACTTTGAAATCTTTGTTACCTCGGTGACACGCACGCGCGAGCTCCCTGTATCGCGGGTGGAACGCGTGGACGCGACTGCGCGCGCTAATTTGTGACAACAGAAAAGTGAAACTTAAGGTCAACGTAAGTACAGAGAGCTAACTATCGAAATTATGCGTTTATCCGTTCATTCAAGAGAAAAAGAAGGGGGGGGGGGCGACCAGTTCGCAACGACAGCTATCCGCCGCGCTCGACCTCCCTCGTTCAGCGTCTAACTTAAAACTCACAGCGAGGGGTGCACGGGAAGAGGCGTCTTCGCATTCCAGAGCTCATCAGGCGAAGGAGTTGATTCGCGTCGTAACGCTAATGAAAGAGCTCTTGGAGAGCAGAGAACGCAGGGAAAAAGCGTGTTTTTTTCCTGCTCCCAGAGCCTTCACCCGTGCAGTGAGCGTCAATTGCAAAACTTCCTAATTTTCCACGCGGGGCGTGGAATTACGTTTACACGATGCTGTTGACTCTCTCTCTCTCTCTCTCTCTCTCAGGTGGGAAATTGAATATCTAACGAGAAACGAACTTGTCACACTATTTACGCGTGCGTATATTCCTAGCAGGGACCGAGGGGAGCGCAAGAGTGATATGCTGCGGCTCGTTTCAAGGGGACGGCGGTGCTGGAAAAAGAGTTTAACGATCGCGCGTCGAACTGATCCACGATTCTTTACCCCTGGTACGCTCGGACTAATATAATTGCTTTTGAGTTGAGCTCGCTAGCGAGGAAAATTGATCGTATCCATTACACAAATGGCTAGACTGTTGATGTATCGAGTGCGTTCTCATGTCGATTACTACACTCGTATTTGTGGCTAGTCGTTCTAGTGAAAAAGAAAACAAGCGAAAAGTCATGTCGACGGAGCGAAACTGCCTCGCTGCAGCTGGAAAAGAAAAGCTTTGTTGTTCGCCTTTCTCGCGTCGGTCAATTGAAACGTCAAATAACGATACGCAAGCAGAGAAACATCCATATTCGATGCAGCGATCGCGCCTTGAGCAAATCGTCAGTCGAACTTATAAATAACTTTATTAAAAACGCGAACACAGCCGATACGCCATTCAAATAAAATGCACTATTGGTGACTTTACTTAGCCGAGTAAAGTATCGATCGGTTTTTTCGTCGGAGCAAAAGAGTAGTAGTGCTGAAATAGAGAGAGAGAGAGAGAGAGAGAGAGAGAGAGAGAGAGAGAGAGAGAGAGAGAGAAGGAGATGTCGTGAAAGAGCGGGTGACTAGCAATGATCGATCGTGTATATTCGCCTTGAGGGTCAGGATTTTGGTCACTTGTTGCTGTATTCTTTGCGACGCGATTGCACAGCAAGAATTCGAGGAGCGTCGCTGCTTTATTTCCGCGCCTGCAACTACGCTGGCGATGATGGCGCGCGAGACACGTTAGTTTATTGTTCTTGTGGCGGCCGCTCTTGAGTTAAGCGATAGGCTGCTTGTTGTTCGGTTTAATTACAACGCTACTCTAATTAAAATTATTCATACAGCTCGCCGTTACGCTCGTGTAATGGAAATCTGGTTTGCTCTTGCGAAAATGTACGCGCGCACGAGAAGACCAGGTGCACGCCGTTTCGTGAATTATTTCAATAAATAGGGGCATATATTTATTTTGTACACAAAACCGACGTTTTTCGACATTGCTTGGAGTATTTAAAATTCAATGCGAGTCATAAAATATGCAAAAGTAATTCTTAGTCTGTAATATACTTTGTGCAAAGAAAAATTTTCATTAATCGAGTTTCTAGCTTTCGGAATCGAAGTACTAACAATGATGTCTATGTTTTTCATTAGATTTCTATGCGAATTATGAGAATCAAAGCATGCAAACGCGAAGAAAAAATCAGATAATAATTGTTGAGAAATTTAAACAGGAACGATAATAGACGAGTCCAAATTAGCCAATAAACGACACTTTCAATTCAAGAAGATACGAAAATGTAGCTGTTTTTCGTTACCACGCAATTGTCATCGGCAAGCCAAGTAAATGATAAACTCGCGCGAGTCTATTACTGATCATACTCGTATTCGTCATTTGGCTGTTCGTTAAATTACACCACCAGTGCGATGACTGTTTTCATTGATTTTGTGTATATTGAAGGCATTTAAAGGGGGATAGTGCGGTTAATGTTTTTTTCTGGAGTGCACGTCTCTGCGACAGGTAGATTTATACCTCGATAGAGCCGTCGGCCGGAATAAATCTTCGGTGAGACTGCGTGGCAAATCAAGCCCACTATGGATATTTATGTGGTTGCTTGGACGTCGCTGTATTTTTTTTGTCTGCATGGTCGAGCGATGGGCGGTGTTTTCTTGAGTAGGGCCGTCGGCTTCCTTTTGATTTACTTTCCGAGAGAAATCGCTGCTTGGCTTTTTTTTTGACTCCTCCACGACTGCAAAGGGAATTCCGATTGTGTTTGGCAAAGCCCTTGTTTTTCCTTGCAAAATTCAATAAACTCGCGCACATCGAATTTTGCAGGAAAAGAAGTATTTGTTTTTCAAATTTTTTATCTCCAACTTTGTTCGAACATTCCAACGCCTGCATTGTTATAGAATAGATAGAGAAAAACTTTTCATAAACTCCTCTCTCTCCGTCACTCGTGAGTTATCGAAACATACTTCTCGAACCACTCAAATATTTTTACAATTTACATTTTTTTAATCTGCAAAAATCAGCGCGGGTGACGGTACGCATTTGAATTGGAGCACAAGAAAAGAGACGAGCGTGTTATTCCCTCGTTGGAAATTGAAAATCATATTGCGTGAACGAATCGCAAAGGCAAATGGATATTCTGGAGAAGACATTCTGCGAGCACGCGCGCCTCGCAGCTGTGCCTAGTAATCTATACGCGAGACACGCGGCAACGTCGTTACATACCATAAATATTTACACAGCTGTTGATGTCGCTTTGATATCTGGAAAAACAAACGAATCCAACGTCAAATTTGATACTAAAGGAACGCTCTCTAACAGGAAATGTCTGTGTGTCTGACTAAACTCGAACGTCTACTACTTACGTATAATACTTTTGTCTTTTTTTCTCTTTTCTTTTGAAGGTGAAATACGCGAACTGAATACGTCAATCAACGTGGTACACAGTTGCAACTGGTGACTGTCGAACAATAATCGCGCTGAGTTCGTCGCTCTAATTCCATCCGTACGGCTTGTATCGCTCGAATAATTTACAACAATAATTATCCCATTCCATCAAAGTTGATCGATATATGCGCTCGGCGTACTGTTAAATCTCTCTCATTGATGGGTCCAATGTTCGGAGTTGACAATTAATTAGGCGCCAGGGCG